TGGACGCGTGGGGCACCTGAGTGGCTCTTGGTTTCCGCCCAGGTCACGATCTCTCGATCGGGGAGCCTGCGTAGGGCTCCAGGCTGACGGAGTGGAGCCTGCTTGGGATTCTCTCCCTCTCTCTGCCCCTCCCCCACCTGTGCTATTTCTGTTTCTCTCAAAATAAAACTTAAAAAAAAAAAAAGAGGGGCACCTGGGTGGCGCAGTCGGTTAAGCGTCCGACTTCAGCCAGGTCACGATCTCGTGGTCCGGGAGTTCGAGCCCTGCATCGGGCTCTGGGCTGATGGCTCAGAGCCTGGAGCCTGTTTCCGATTCTGTGTCTCCCTCTCTCTCTGACCCTCCCCCGTTCATGCTCTGTCTCTCTCTGTCCCAAAAATAAATAAACGTTGAAAAAAAAAAATTTAAAAAAAAAGAAAAAAAAAAAAGAAAAAAAAGAGCCAGCCAGGTGCCCCAGCCCTGATGGTTCAAGTCGTAACTTACAATTTCTGTGTGTGTGAAACTGCTCACAAACAAAATCTGTCAATTAAAAGAGTAGTTCAGGGAGCCTGGGTGGCTCGGTCAGTTAAGCATTCAGACTCTTGGTTTTGGCTAGGGTCATGATCTCAAGTTCCTGAGATCGAGGCCCGCATAGGGCTCTGCACGAACAGTGTGTAGCCTGCTTGGGATTCTCTCCCCCTCTCTCAAAACAAACTTAGAAAAAAAAAAAAGCACACAGCTCAGCAGCATTCAGCACGTTCACCACGTTAAGCAGCCGCCCCTGCAAACCTTTTCTTCCTGGAGGACGTGACCCCAGCGTCCAATGGTGGACCCCGCCCCGGGTCCCCCAAGAACCACCCATCTGCTTTCTGGTTCTCTGTGGGCTGGCCCGTTCGGCACGTCTCCCATAAATGAGAGCATACAGCACGTGGCCTTTCACAGCGGCCTCCTCTCCCAGAGCGTGGACTCGAGATTCAGCGTGGCAGCGAGCTGGCGCTTTGTACCTTCGCGGCAGAATGTGACTCCGTCGCGCAAACACGCCCTTTATCCTCCGTCTGCTCAGGGGTATCTGGGCCGTTTCTGTCTTCTGGTGACTGAAACTGGCAGCGCTGTGAACGCTCACATCCGAGCTGTTGGTCAGGCCCCCGTCCCCAATCCTTTTGGGCGCGAGCCTGGGAGTGGAACGGCCGGGTCGTGGGTAATTCTACGCTGAACTTACTGAGCGAGGGGCCACCAGACCGTTCTCCACGGCGGTCGTCCCCTACTGTGCAGAAAAATTTTAGTCGTTCAAAAAATTTTGACCACCACTCCACGGGATCGAGAAAAGCTGCCAGCAGTGGGTCAGGCTGGCCAGGAAAGGACAGGCCACCGGGGGTTCGGTCACCCACATGTGCGGCCGACCGCACCCACAGGTGCCACCACCTCCCCTGGACAGCAGCTCAGTGTCACCCAGACCGCAGCCGAGTCCGTCAGCTGTGACCTGCTCCTCACACCCCTGGGGCATGGCGGGGGTGCTGGGGGTGCGGGAAGAAGGCCGACAAGCTCTTGGCTGATTCGCAGGCACCGTGTGGTCCAGCAGGACCGCAAACAATGACCGTAGGAGGAGGGACCCAGGAGGGAGCAGGGGAGGGAGCAGGAGAGGCAGCGGACGGGCAGCGGGGATCGGGGACCCCGTTAGCGGCTGTGCAAATCCCTGCTCGGTAGCGTTTACACCACCTAGTCTGGGCATCACGAGGATTGGGCTGGCACGGAAAAAACTGGCACGGCGCCTGGGCCACTCGCAGTGCCGCACACGTACGAGCCGTCAGGACTAAACATCGAGGTGGCCTCGAGCAGCTGACGAGCGCATCCGGGCTTACCCGGCACGGAGACCCTACCAGGTGGCGTCAGCCTGTCACACGGGCAGGAAAGGAGCTCCCCGGGACGCCTGGCTGGCCTCTGGCAGAGGCAGTGACCTGGGCATGCCCGCAGGGGGTGTCAGGTAAGTGAGGAAGCTGGTGGGAACGGCCCAGGGGGTGAGGGATGAAAAGCCTCTTCTTCGGCTCCTGGGCTGAAGGTGCAGGAGCCTCTCCGTCCCTCCCCGGGCACACGGCCGGTCTCCGGTGGAAGCCGCCGGGACCGGCCTGGGCCAGGGCACCGAGGCGCCAGCTCCAGAAACAGCCCACTCACAGGAGCACGTGAATGGCATGCGGGAGGAACGGCGGTCAGGTTTATTGCTCTGGGTTAAACCAGTGGAGAGAAGACCTGAGGAGGAGGACAAGGACACAAGAAACCAGCGGACATTTCCTCCGCTTCCGGGGTTCTTCGGGCCCTGGGAGTCTGACCGGTGCGTTTCAGGTCCGCGGCTCACCTACTCTTGGGCTCACCTACTCTTTCCCCAAGGAAACTCGAGGTGCATGAACCCAAGGCTCTGGAGAGCTCGGCTCCTCCTTGCGGTGCCACCTGCGGGGTCACCGGCATGGATCTGAGCACGGAGGCTGTGCCGATGGCCTCCACTGGGCTGGTGTCCTTAGGAAGGCGTCTTGGTGGAGGAGGAAGAGGCTGCCTCCTTCTTCTTGGCGGGGGCCTTCAGCAGGGCCAGCTTCTTGGGCAGGCTGGCGCTGGCTTTCATGACCACGTCATGTTCGATCTTCTTCCGGATCCCGACCTCCAGGTCCTGAGGGGGCAACCACAGGGCGGTGAAACTGGGTCCTGAGGTGGGGGTGGGGTGGGGGGCTGACCCGTCACCCTCTTTCTGCCAAGAGCTCACAGGAGACTGCATGAGCAACTTCCCACAAACGGTACCTGGGGTCTGGGGTTTAAACGCAACAAGTCCTGTTCTCTTCCCTGAACCTCAGCTTCCAAACCTCTACGCATCCCCATTTTACAGATGGGGAAACACGTTCCAGCAATGTGGAGGCACCTGCCCAGGGTTCCCAAGACAGGTGAGTGAAGGGGGACTGGAACCCAGCATGCCCAGAGCCTTTGGTCTCAGTTTCCAGGCATCAGTCCCCTCTTGTCACGTGTTATCTCCACTTGGCAGATGGTGGCCTGGGGCTCTGAGACAGAAATGTCAGAAAGCAAAGGCACATGGGTTTGGGTCCAAAACTGGTAGTTTAATCGTATTTCCCAAACTGCCCCATCCTGCCTATGAGTTCCAATGACCAACACCACCGCGACTGTCACATACCTAGATGCAGGGAACAGAACAGCAAACAAGACACAGAAAAGTCTCTGCTCTCAGGGAGCTGACACTCAGCATGTATATGCAGACAACATAAATACCCACAACCCACTAGGCGAAAGTGATGGTAAGTGCTGCTGTGGAAGAAAAAAACAAGGGATAACAAGCGAGGGGTGGGGGCAGTTACCAGGGACAGCCGCTCGGAAGTAATGCCTGCAGTCAGACTAGACTCAGAGGAAGGGAGCCGTGTGGATTTCTGGGAGAAGAATCCCACAGGAAACAGTGAGTGCAAAAGTGCTGAGGTGGGATAAGGAGTAGTTAAGGGGCCAGTGAGCAAGGGGGAGAGTGGGAGATTAGGGCAGGGAGGTGACAAGGGCAGATCACGCAGGGCCCTGTGGGCCACGGGGAGGATCTGAGTTTTTCTTGGGGTCACGTGGGAGGCACTGACGGCTGGGAGCAGGGGGGGCTCGGCCAGACTTGGGTGCTCACTGGCGCCCTCTGGCCGCTGTGGTAGGGGGTAGGAGATCAGGGAGGGTGCACCTGCCCTGGTCCGGGTGGTAGTTGATGGGGTGGGAACAGGAAGGGGGTCAGGGAGGTGGGAAATGGGTGGATTCTAAACTAATACTGAGGGCAAAAAGGACGGGATCAGACCCAAACGTGAGAGAAGGGGGGAAACAATGATCTCAAGTATCTGGAAGGACAGAATCTTCCTGAATCACAAACGGTGGCAGGGTCATGTCGGGGAGGGAGAGGGAAGCATCAGGAGTTTGCTTTTGGATGTGCTGAGACTGAGACGCCCAGGTGACAGTCCGCCTCCCGCTGCCACCTGGAGGTAAGCAGGCCCTGGGGTCTCAGAAAACCTATGCTCTGAGCAAACGAAACAACTTGCTCAAGATCACGCATTAGTTCGAGTGGAGTACAATTTGAACTCAAATCTGACTCCAGTAAAACTAGTTTTAAATCTCTGTAAACTTCTTTATAAGCTCCACCCTAGCCACCTACATAAAGAGGTTGCATTTAAACACAACCACAAAAATGACAACCACCGCAGCTAACGTTTACTTGTGTCCTGTGCTGTTCTCAGCGGTTTACAAGTGCCCTATGGCATTAAATCCTTACGACTCTAGAAAGAAAGGTGCAATCACTACGACCATGTGACAGGTAAGAGACTTCGGGTGAAGAAATAGCCGTTGACGGCTGCGATCGCACCCGCGCGGCCTTCCTTCGAAACTGGGGTTTCTACTTCCCATGCCACCTCCCCTCCCAAGTTCCACTAACGAACGGTAACAGCGAGAGCAACTGGCGTGCGTTTAACACTTCCTGCACGTCGGGCCGTGCTTCTACGGGGTCCGGTGAACGATGTGGGAGGTTCCGGTACCCACGGCACAGGAGGGCGGAACTGAGGCTCAGAGAGCGGAGTTCTCCAGGCTCCCCACTCCGCCAGCCTCCAGGCTCCCCCACCGGCCCCAGTCTCCATCCTCCGCCCATCACCGCCTTCAGGCTCCTCGCACGCCCCCACTCACCTTCTTGAGCTTTCGCTGCTGCACGATGCGTGCCTTCTTGGGGGCGATGACACGACCTGGGAAGAGACGCACTCGTGTGAGGCCGGGGAGCCCTGGGTCCCCCTCGCCCCCCAGAGCCCTCAACAGCTCCTTACCACCCTTCCTCGGGCCTCGGTTCCGCTCGGAGGCCGCCGCCGCCGCCGCCGCCTTGCTCTTCCCCGGCTTCCGCGCCTGGAACTTGCGCTGCCCCTGCGCCATGATGCGGCACGCACCGGAAGAGGCGGGGCTGCGAGGACATACAGCCGGAAGACGCAGAGCACGATGGGATACAGTGGGGCCGGCGGGGCGCACGCAAAGACTCACGGGACTCAACGGGGCAAGGCATTAAAGAGACAGACGCCCACAGACGTAGATGATACGGAGGGCTTTGCAAAACCTTCCAAAGAAAGGTTAGGATGATCAGCTAACGCTTCCTGAGCGCTGTTTTGTAGAACTTAGTTTTATGCTCTTTGTACATGAAAGCTGGTCTAGGATTCTTCACCAACTGAGCCACCCAGGCACCCCTAAACATAAAATTTTAGTATCATAAACGTAAAATCGTCAAACCACGGCCTGCAGAGCAGGTGCAAGTAAGATTTTCTTGGAATGAGGGCCAGTGTCAGGGGTGAGGTGAGGTCAAGTTGTGCAAGAAGCTGTACTTGATTACTGAGCTTTTTGGGGTGCCGTTTAAAATTCTGCACCCCAGGTACCATCCTAGTTCCGGCCCTGAAGCAACCTGAGAACATTTTATACATGAGAACACCAAGGCACGAGGAGGTGAAGTGACTCGACCAAGGTCACACAGCAGAGAAAGTGGCTGAGCTGGGTTTTGAACTTGGGCAGGCTGGCTCCAGTTACAGGGCTCCTAAAGCCATGCAAAGGCCCTGTGTGCAAAGGCCCTGCTCTAGGAAGAAGTGTAGCTGTGGGGAAGAAAGTCAGTTTTGGGGCAAGCCATTCAATGAGTAAGTTTATTACAAAACCTAAGGGAATGGGGGCAGGATATGGAGAGTCAGCTCGGTTACTTCTGGGGTCCAGCTGGGGTACCCGCCCTCAGGAGACGGTGGTGCTTAGGGCTGCCCGGAGCTCCTCAGGAGCAAAGACCCCCAGTTCTGTGATGATGCCGCCGGTGATGAGGTTGTGGGGGGTGACATCGAAGGCAGGATTCCAAACCCCAATCCCTGCAGGAGAGAAGGAGGAGGCAAGAAGGCAGTATTTGGCTCTGTGACAGCTCTCAAGCTGTTGTGTCCTGTCTCCCCCATGGGGGTTCTGGGACTTCGAGAATCCTTGAGAATCCGGGAATAGTCACTCTGCAAATGCACGAGGGCGTGGGTTTTAGCACTCAGTAACATCGAGAGATGTTGGCATCGTCTCAGAAGGTTTAGAAGTCTTACACACATCTATCCCGCTTCCGCCTGCTCCAAGGATCGCATTAAGAACCTCAGAGAACCCACCTGAGAGCCTTTGCACGGGCAGTCCCCTCTGCCTCCAACATACACACGACTCACTCACTGTTTCGTTTCCTTCAGGTCTTTGCTCAGATGTCACCTTCTCAGCGACGCCTTCTCTAATCATTCTGTCTAAATCTCCCTGCACCAACACTTTCCGTGCCTTTCCTTGCCTTTTCTCCTCAGCCCTTGCCCGCCTCTAACACACACTGTGATTTTGTTATTTATCTTGGATTGTCAGCTCCACAAAGCAGGGATTTTATGACCTTTTCATACCTGTATCCCTTGCATTTAGCACAGCACCTAGCATCGGTCAGGTACCCTAAAATATTTGCTGAGTCAATAACCACCATTTACACAAGAGGCTGCAAACTGGGGGCCCGTGACGATTTTCTATGGCTCACAGTTCTTGCTTTTTTTAATGTTTGTTTTTGAGAGAGAGAGAGAGAGAGAGAGCACGTGTGTGCACAGTGGGGAGAGGCAGAGACAGAGGGGGACAGAGGATCTGAAGTGGGTTCTGAGCTGGCCAGCCCCGATGCGGGGCTTGAATTCACAAACTGTGAGATCATGACCTGAGCTCAAGTCCGATGCTTAACCGACTGAGCCACCCAGATGCCCCATGTAATTGTGACTATCCAATGAGCACTAAGTAAGGGTCAGGCGCGGTTCCTCATGTCACCTGGGCTGATTCGCTGACCACCCAGGGGTTTGTGAGGCGGGTCATAGTAAGAGTGCATCTCACAGACGTGAACGCTGGGGCTCTTGGGGATGGGAGAACTCAGGCAGCCTGCTCCAGGTGGGGTGGGGAAGCTGAGAGCATCAGTGTCTCTTCACAGGCACTGGGCTAGCCGGTATTCTTATTTCTTCTTCAAGGGAGGAAAACGAAATGGAGAAGAGCAGGACAGCTTGCCTGAAGTCTCCTAACTCATTAGTTGCACATTCTGACCTTGAATCTGACCTTCAAGACGCTTCTGTTCCAAGAAATGGGTCGAAGGAGCCGCTTATGCCCCAGAAGGCCCGTGATGCCCTAAATCCACCTGCCCCCAGGAAGGGGCCAAGGTGCCTAAAGGGACGTGCCCAGGTGCCGTGGTGCCCACCTCTAAGGGGCCGGCTTACCGGGGGCTGCAATCCTGACCCCGTTGACGTCGGTCAGCTCCCGCCCTGGGCGCTCCTCGATGACGATGTCCCTGCCTGTCTCCAGATGGAGGTCACACGAGGAGCTGGGGGCAGCCACGTAGAAGGGGATGCCGTGGTGCTTGGCAGCGATGGCCAGCTGGTAGGTGCCCACCTTGTTGGCTGTGTCACCGTTGGCAACCACGCGGTCGGCTCCTACGATGACGGCTGGGGAGCAAGATGCTGGGGTCCTCACCTGGCCCCGGACGCCTGGAAGCCCTGCCCACCGGCATCGCGCCCGCTGACCTGACACCCCTCTGTGGGCCATGGCGGCTGCTGCCGTGCTGTCGGCGATGAGCGTGGCGGGGATCTGCTCGTAGACCAGCTCAAAGGCAGTCAGCCGGGCTCCCTGGTTGTAGGGCCGGGTCTCCGTGCAGAAGGCGTGGTCCAGACGGCCCAGGGTGTGCAGCGAGCGGATCACCCCTGTAGGGCTCGGCCCACCAGAAGGTCAGGATGAAACAGACAGCGACACTTGGGCCGAGTGGCTCGCTGTTTAGAAGCACAGCTCACCAAAGCCTCACCAGGCACAGTCTCATCCCCGGGCTCCTGCAGTGATTTCCTCTGCCCAGTATGTGTGGGCTTAGAGAACACCTTCTCCGGGAGGCCCTCCCTGATTCCTCGAGCTCGCACAGCCACCCCCCCCCCCAACCCTCCGACCCCTTCCCTGCTCTTTCGTACTCATCACCCTCGAACGCAGCGTGCGTATTTACCGACTTGCTTGTGTTACTTCTTCCTATTTTCCTGTTCCTTGGGGCAGAGGTTTTGTCTACTGTTTTCACTGCTGGGTCCCCAGTGCCTAGAACTGTGCCTGGTACACAGCAGGTGCTTAGTAAGCATTGAGTGAATTGAGGAATGCATGTATGCAGGAATGGTGGGGTACTCGGGTTCTTAATTGATGTTTATCGAGTGAATAAACGAGTATCTTGCCATCAAGGCCTCAGTCCCCAAGCACAAGGGCAGGACCCAGGCAGGTAGGCGAATCTCCGAGAATTTAGGGTCAAGTGGCATCTACTATTTTGACCCCCAGGACCTGTTCCCCACTGTCCTGGTCACAGCTACCCCAATCTTTCTTTTGGGGGGCCACTCCCTTCTCGGTCCTCTTGGAGTTCACATCGTGCCCATTCTGAGCATAAGGCTCAGTCTGGGCCCGTTGACCGATTGATCCTGGATGGGCAAGTGGCCCTATCAGAGCCCCTGAGATATAAGGAGACTTTTCCAGCACTGTCAGCACAGAGACCCTTGGCTCTTTTCCTCATGATCTGAATCCTAGCAGCCTCCCTGCTGACCCGTGGAGCATGAGAATGATGCCATCGCGGAGGGCAGGATTTAGGGGACAGGGATAGATGGATCCTGATGCCACTATCTAACACCTGGATCCAGCCACACCTGAAGCCAACCACCTAAGCAGTTCTGTACAAGAATAACTTCACCGGGACACGTGGCTGGCTCAGTCGGGTAAGCATCCGATTTTGGCTCAGGTCATGATCTCATGGCCCCACATCGGGCTCTCTGCTGTCAGCACGGAGCCTGCTTCAGATCCTCTGTCCTTCTCGCTCTGCCCCTCCCCCACTCGCTTGCTCTCTTTCAAAAATAAATAAATGTTAAAAAGTAGTTAAACTTATTAAAAAAAAAAAAAAAGGAACAACTTCACATCTTTTTGGTGGGTAAAGTGACTAGGGTTTCTTTCTCTAGCATCCAAAAGGGGCCCTTCCCCCTTCCCATGATGCCCACTCACCCAGGGCTGTGCCATAGCCAGCAGTGGCCAGGGCACCAGTGTTGCAGTGGGTCAACACGGTCACCTTGCCGCCCCCAGGAGCCACCTGCTCCAGGAGGTGGCGGGCTCCTAGGTCCCCGATGCTCCGATTGTCTTTGAGGTCTTTCTCCAACATGTCCTCGGCACAGCAGATCACTCTGGGGCCGACAAGGGGCTCTCAGCACCAGCCACCAGGCCTTGGGGCCCAGGCTAGCCCCTCCTCCCTGCCCAACACCGCTCAGTAGGAGCCCTCCTGCTCACAGCCTCTGCAGGCTGTGGGACCTGCACTCTTCTGGACTGTCACCTGTCACACCACTTGCTCACTTAACGTATGTTTACTGAGTACCTCATGGGCGTGGAGAGCACAGCACAAAAATTTCTGCCCCTGTGGAGCTCCCGCTAGGGTGGGGGAGGCAGGTGGTAAGCAATTAATGAAGGAGAAGGCAGCCGAGTCAGGGGACAGAGATGGGGTACAGGAGGTGTGGGGAAGACAGAAACCTGAAACCTGACAGAGAGTAAGCTCTGTGGATACCCGGCCTGCAAGAGATGGCGTGTGCAAAGGCCCTGAGACAGGAGTAAGCTTGGTAAGGTCAAGAAACATGCCACGTGACCACGTAGCTGCAACAGAGAAGAGTACAAAAACAAAAGGGCAGGGAAGGGATCAAGGCAGGAAGCAAAATTCCTCAAAAGAAAAACTAGGAGAATGCAGTGGCTCCAAAAGGGATGAGGCAGATGGGGCTGGGCATGTTCTGGGGAGGCAGCAACAAGAGACTTGAACTTGAGTGCAAGGGCCTTGGGACCCAGCTGTCCGGTAAGGGCTCTTAGTCCCGTTTGCGTGGCCTTGGACTGACATGCCGTGCCTCAGTTTTCCTGTATGTAAAACGGGTCGCTGTGCGAAAAGATGAGTCAACAGCTTCCACGCGGAGCAGTGTTTGGCCCAAGGCCTCCCTACCTCTCCCGGACCGTCTCTTCCGTGGCGCCCTCGCGCTCGGCCTCCAAGGCTGCGGCGTCGGCAAGCTGGCTGGCCGCGCGGGCCAGGTTGACCGCGGTGGGCCGAGCGGTGACCAGGAAGCTCAGCGCGTCGCGCACGAAAGCCACCAGTGCGGCGAGGCCCGGTCCCCCCGCACCCGCCTGCAGCTCCACGGCGAGGCTGAGACAGCCCACGAGCGCGATGGCCGGGGCGCCGCGCACCTGGAGGGGAGGGCTCGGGGCGTCAGAAGGGGCCGCCCCCCTCCCATCCCTGCCCCGTCGCTGCGCCGCGCGGTCCCACCTTCATGGCGCGGATAGCCTCCCAGGCCTGGCGCACCGAGCCCACTGCCTCGTAGCGACTGTGCTGGGGCAGCAGCAGCTGGTCGAGGATCTCCAGCGAGCCCCGGGAGTAGCGGATCGCCTCCAAGCCCATGGTACCGCCGCCTCGCTCACGCCGCTCTGGAAGGACGGGGGGCGGGCCTCCCTGCGCACGCGCGGGGATAGGACGCAAGGAGTGGGCAGGACCCGCCCCGCCCTTTCGGAAGGAGGCGCGTGCGCACAGCAACCCCGCAGGACCGGCGGTCCAGGAGGCCGAGCCCGCCCTACCCCAGGGCCGAGTTTGGGCAGTTAGCCGCCTTCTGGAAACCAGAGCGCACCGTTTCTGGGGCCACGTTGTTTACCGTTCGGCTGACCGGAGTTAAGGGCTCGCAGCAAGGACCCCAAATCCCGGGTGGGCACCCTTAGGTGCCTGATTTCTTCAGCCACAGAGAATGCTGAAGGTGGTCTCAAACAAAGGCCCGCATTGGGTATTTCAGAGACTAAGGGGCTCTTACCGTTGCCCTGAAACCTTCCCTTCCCTGCAGGGAGCAAAGGCTGGTGGGCTGGGGACAGCCCCTAGGGCCACCATGCCCCCTCAGGCGAAATATGAATCTGGCCAGGACCTCAGCACCTAGTGCACTGTGTGGCTGGGTCACTGCCATATCCCCTGGGGCTACAAACCCCCACATTTGTTAAATGCTCTTCCTTTTCCCCGGTTTAAGGGGAGGTGGCCGGTTGGGTTTCTGGGTTGATGCCCTGCTGTTTCTGAGCTATTTCCTGTTCAGTTTACCAGTTCCCTCCAAAAGATGCACCATGGCAGGGAAGGGGGTAGGGGAGGGGGCCTTTTCGTGACCTTTCCAAGGTACCCCTACAGGCTGGGAAAAATGAAAACCCCACACTTGCATGCTCCAGGTTTGACTGCTTCAGGCACCTCCTATGTTCCCAGTCCTAACTGTACGGTTCCTGCTGCCCAGTCCCCCGTCCACCTTTCGCACTGAGACTGTACTGCCTCCTCTGGGAAGTCCGCTCTGATTGCAGGCCAACCTGAGCTACCACAGTGAAACCCTCATGCTGGGCGGGGATCGTGGCTGTGGCCGTAGCATCACGCTGGCTGGTGAGGGTCCTGCGAAGCTTAGCTGGGTGGTGGGGTGCGGGGGGAGTCAGCCCCTGGGCCCATCTAGCAACCTGAGGCAGGGACAAAGAAGCAGGGCTTTAATGTTGGGATGTTGTCCCACAAGGCACAAACACCCTCTCCGGGACCAAATAAATAACTCCACTGCTGCAGGAAGGCGAGGTCTCGGGAGGGGCAGCGTCTGAGCACTCGGAGGGCTGGGGGGCAAGCAAGGCTGCAGTCCGGGAGGGGCCTCCTGGCTGGGTCGCAGCCTCTGGAGCAGGTCCAGTGCCCAGAACTGCTCACTCACTCTCGGAGTCGGAGTAATCGGCCACCAGGGAGGAGCTGAGGGTGCCCGGGTGTGGTGTGTCCTGGGAGGTGGCTGCCTCCTGAGAGGGGCCTGGTGGGGACCGGGGTCTGTCCTGACCTTTCCCCGCCTGCCCCAGAGGTCCCCTGCTCCTGGGGGTCTCGGCTGTCTCCGGAGAGCAGTCTGGGGGGGATGCGGGCCTGTCCTGGGTGTTCCCCTCCGGCACCCATGGCGCCCCAGGCTTGGGGGTCTCCGCGGCGAGCCGGAGGTTCTCCAAGGCCTCTCGGGACCGCCGCCGCACGATGCCCAGGTCCTCTGTGGTGATGGGGGAGCCGACGGGTGCGCATCTGCGGTTCTGGGCCAGCTTCTTCAGGGCGCTGCCGGCTTTGCTGCTGCCGGCGCGGGGTCCCGGGGTGGAGGAGAACCAGGAGCGGCTGATGATCTCCGTCCGCTTGAGTTTCTGCTTGTCCTCGTAGGCTGGGGATGGGGAGGCAAGAGAGGGAAGGAGGTCCACAGCCGCCCTCTGCCTTGGCCTGCCGTGGCCCGCTCATGGCCGGGGACCTCCGTATCTGCCCACCCGGTCCCCCTTGCCCACTGGCCCCCCAACGCACAGTCCAGGGTGTGGAACTTGAGCAGGGCGGCCAGCTTGCGGTCGTCCTCCGTCTCGGGCACCAGCGGGATGGCCAGGCTCGCCTTAGCCTGCAACGCCTGGTCCCTCTCCTCCTCCTCCTGCATGGCTTTTTTCTTCTCCTGTGTGGTGGGGGACAGGGTGGAGGAAAGGTAGGGTGGCTGTCGAAGACCCGCCTCTCCCCTGCCCGCTGACCCGGGGCGCGTGGCGCCACTCGGTTTCCTCCTCTTCAAGCTCATCCGAGGCAAGGGCCTCACGCGATGCCCGGGACGTGGAAGCCACCCAGCAAGTGGGCGACGCGAGCAGACATCGAGGGAGGACCGTGCCCCTGGGGGTGCGAGTCGGGGTCTGCACGTGAGCCCTCAGCGACTCTGCACTCAGGCACTTGTACACTGAAACACGCACGGCCACGCTTCATCGTAAGCGACTCTCCCCTTTCAGACATTTTTTACCACAGGGTACGGCAGAGATATTTTGGCAATCGTGCGGGCGTGGGTTGATGATCTCGGGGCTCCGTTCTGGGATGGCTGCGTGGACCCGTGAAATAAGTGTTAGGAGCTGAGTAGTAGGTCAGGGCCCTGCTGGGCCTCGGCTGTCCCCCTTGGCGGGGCTGGGCCTCACCTGTGCTCTAGCTCGAAGCTTTCTTTCCCTCGGAGAGTCTGCTGAAGGCAGAGCTGGGGCTCCCCGGAAGGGGCTACCTGCTTAGTAACAGCTGCTGGGCCAGGGGCTTCCCGTGGGTGCCCCGAGGTAGGGACGCGGTCCGATGGGGACACTGAGGCTCAGAGGGCTAAATGGCCCAGCGGGAGCTGGCATGTGGTGGGGCCAGGGCCGCATCTGCGTTCTCCCCACTCCGACGTCGGTGGCCCCTGCCCCCTCGTGGTCCCGACGCCACGTGGGAGCCCCACTCACCCGGAACCTTTTCCGCAGCATGCTGTTGAGAGCGAAGTCATCCTTCCAGGCGCTCTGGGCCTCCTGGATGTGGCTCAGGGTGGGGAGGGCCTTCTGGAGCGTGCTCCGGTCGGCCTCGCCGTGCTCCAGGCGAAACATGGCGTCCGTCTCCAGCTTCTGCTTCTTCTCATGCTCTGCCACAGCGAGAATGCGGCAGGGCCTTCGGGCTCGGGCTCGGGCTCGGGCTCAGGGCTGGCCTCCGGGCCCACCCCTCCCCCGTGCTCACCTGTCGTCAGCACCTGCTCGTTGTCCTCCATGTCCCAGCGCTCCTCCTTGCGCTGGGCGCCACTCACAATCACGTAGTCGCAGTTGGCGGGGTCCGTCTGCATCTCGATGTAGTTGACACACAGGTGGCATTTCATCCGGAACCTGGGTGGGCAGAGGGCGCACGTCAGGACACTGCGGCGGCCCCAGGCCACCCGTCACCCCTCGCCTCCTTCCTTCCGCTGGTGAGCATCATTCGGGAAGCGTTCACTGAGCACCTGCTACCCACCAAGCTCTGTGTCTGGGGTCATGGCTGTGGGTGAGACACACACCGTCCCATCGCCCCAGAGCTGACCTTCTGTCTGGAGTTTGCTCCTTCGTGCATTCAACAAACCCTCCCGAGCGAGGCTGCCCTGCGGCAGGCTTGGCAGCGGCTGCTGAGGACACGGCGGTGAAGGACGTCAACCTGCTCTTAGAGGGGCTGACATCCCAGCAGGGGCCATGCTCGCAGCAAATGCACAAGCAACCAGTGTTGGGGGGGTGAGTGCTGCTCTGGAAGAGGCCTCTCTGAGAGGTGGTGTTAGAGCAGAAACCCAAGGAAGGAGAGGGAGCCTTGCAGATGTCTGGGGAAGAGCATTCCAGGCTGAGAGCATCGAGGTGGGGGGTCTTCCTGGGGGGGGGGGTGTGTGTGAGGGAACTCAGGAGGAGAGCGGAAGGAGGTGAGGACACAGACGGGACCGGGCAGAATGTGCAAGGCCTTGTGGGCAGTGGGGAGGACTCAGGCTTTTTTTAGTCTGAGGAAGGTGGGAGCCATGGAGGGTTCTAGCCAGAGGGATGTGCCCGGACTGACAGACCAGGACAGTTTCCAGGAAAAAAGACTGTTGCAAATGGCCATCAGGGAATGTCTGCCCTCCTATTGCGACTCCTTTGTAGCCCCCTCACCCTGTAGCTAACCAATGTGTCCCTCTGGGTACACCCGCCAGGCTGCCCCTACCTGTAGATGGGCGTTGTGTAATAATTGCCAACCTTCTTCTTTTCTGCATTGTAACGAACACCTGGGAGGAGAGGAAAAGAACGGAGGCTCAGGTTCAGGCCACCCCAGCATCTCTGCTGACAGGGGGCAGACAGGGGCGCTATTCCGTGTGCCCGCAGGGGAGACACCTCTGGAGAGCCCTGAAGTTCAAGGTGGGAAAGAGCTGTGTCCAGGCCACACAACGGGTGCTCAAGCCACAGAGGAGTGTGGGTGGCGGCAGGAGGGTCCGGGCTCAAATACCGACTTCACCGCATACCAGCTACGCGGCCGTAGGTCGGCTGCTCAGTTTCCCCACCTATTCAACAGGGACGACTATCCTGTTCACCACACAGCGCTGCGGTGACCCCTACAGGGGCTGACGATACACACGCATCACTTAGCACGGGGGCTGGGACTTGGCAGGTGTTCAAGGAGGGTTGGCTTTCACTAATAACATCTGCGTTTTCGGGTTTTTCACTGATTAGATGGTTCGTATTCTTGACCGGTTTAGTCTCGCTTATGGGGTGGAAAAAAAGCTTTAAACCACAAAAATAGAGCTTGGGCTGGCGGGTGGCATGGCCTGAGTTTCCCTTTCCCGGTGGCTGCTTCGGTTCACAGCCCTGAGGGTGACCCACCTTGGGTGTTAGGCTGCGTCCTGCTTTCTGTCCCCTGAGCACCCGGGGGCCTTTGGGGCAGGTGCCCCTGGCTGGGTCTGATCAGGGGGACCTGCTGGGTGGGGAGGATTCACTCATCCTCCGTAGCAGTGGGGCGGCCCAGCCCCTCCTTCCTGCTCTTCTGTGGCCCCTGTGACGGTGGCCAGCCCCTACTGCCAAGGGCCACCGCTCCCGTTTACAGAATGAGCTGCTGCACCGGGCCAGGCGCTGCGTGAAGAGCTGAGGGTCCCTGTATCCGAGGAGGACGTGGAAGCCAGGTGGGTCATGTCACCTGCCTGAGACCTCAGAGCTGCCCAGTGGGGCCGTGGCCCCACGTCTGTCTGTCTGCCCATCTGTGGCATGGACAGGGGTCCAATATTAAAGGTCACAGCACAGGCAGCAGCGGTTTAAGTCCTGAGCCCTCGTGTGTATTCTGTGCCGTGGGTTATGCACTTGGCCTGCCACACAGCTTTCCTACCACGTGAGTCTCAGTAAACTGAGGCACACAGAGACTAAGTCACTTGCTGAGGTCCGGCTAGCTAGGAAGTGGCAAGGCCGAGCCTCCCAAATGCTCTGCGACAAGGTGTCCACAACCCACCAGTCACTCGGGTGCCCGTTTCCTCTCCGAAGCCTGATCGGGGGCCCCTGGTGGAGACGGTCTCTCCTGGGCCCAGCGGCCAAGGGGCTGGCCATCTGCGGGGCTGAGTGGTCGGGGGCGGGGCGAGGAACGGAAGGGTGGGCGGGGCTCACCCATGCCGATGTGGTTCTTGCAGCCATCGCACCAGATGTTATAGGGCATCTCAAACCTACACGAAGAGAAAAGAGCTCGTTGGCACCCGGTGCGCTTGGGCTCTCCCTGGGTCCGCGCACCCGCGCCAGCCGAGGCCACGGCGGGTGGGGGGAGCCGAGGGGAGGAGCAGCGGCCCAGCCAGAGTTTAGGAAACTTGCTGCACTGTCACTGGATTTCTTCTCTGTGCTTCTATTTGCGACGCGTGACCTGGCCGTTCACGTACGGGAGCGACAAGGCTTCCAGTTTGAGACACCGTTATGTAAGGAATAACGGGGTGAAGGAAAGACACCGTACAGATGAGCTGAGGGCTCAGCAAACAGAGCGGCTGGAGCATGGAGGTTCGGGGGGGGTTTTGTGTTTTGAAGTGACCTTCAGCTCTCGGCTTCCTGCGGCCACTGCTGGGCCTCCGATCTTGATTCTTTTTCCAAAGACATTCTGACCTCTCGTGATTCTGTCAGTGGATCTGCTCAGGCCCACGATGGACCATGGAGACTGAGGTCAGAGTCCACGAAGCAGAGAAGGGTTCGTCCTTCCGAGGCAGCATAGGCTGGCTTCTGCTACTTGTCCTGGGTGGCCCGCGGGGACACGGGCCAGAAATAAAAGGAGAGCCCTGCGGGAAGGGCCACTGTCCTGGCTCGGTGATTCTTTCTCCTCCCCATATCCGTGCCCTTGGCAATGTGTCTCTGCAGCACATCCTGTCGAGAGGTGGAATGAACTCACCGCCCCTCCCCCTGCAACACGACTGAGCCATCAGTGAGACAGAAGTGACAGTGTGCCAGCTCTGGGTTGTGGCCTCAAGAGTCCTTGCCTGCCTCTGCCCAGTCTCTTCTGGAAGCTGGGTGCTCCCATGTGAACACGGCCAGGCTAGCCAACTGGGGGATGAGAGACACGTGGAGCAGAGCCCGGTCGTGCTGGCCCAGGCCATGCCGGACCAGGCAGGCCCCCAGGCAGGTGACCCCCGACGCATGAGAGAGCCCAGCCCAGGTCAGCCAAGCCCAGGTAAGGCCAGCAGAGACATCCAGCTGAGCTGCAGAATTGGGAGCAACACATAATACACGTTCATCATTTTGTTACCTGGCAACAGCTGACTGATAACAGCGACTTTCTGCTTTATGGAATTAAGGCCCTGCCGATGGGGCAAAATCAGGGGCGCTGAACTCTTCCAGAGACCGATGCCAGGTGGCACGAATGCAGGGATCCTCAGGTGATGCCAGGGTCTTACCTGATAATGAGGATGCCTTGGGACAGCTTCCGAGCCCGCTCCCGTAGCGGGTGGCTGTTGTGGTACCGGTTGAGAGAGCCATGCTGCACGGAAAGGACACAGGAGCAGGTTAGCACAGCAAGGCTGTCTCTCGCAGGCTGAGAGAGGCCTCTTTCTCAGGTCCTGTGGGCGGTGTTAACAGCAGACTGTCAGGCACTAAGGCCTTGGTGGGGCAAGTGGGGTTGGAATCAGGAATATGTGACTCTGAATCTTTGTTCTTCCGTTGAGGAGCTAAACGAGCCGCATGACCCCGGGGAGTGACCTCACTTTTTGCTTTCCAGCCTCTGTTCCCTCTATCTGTCGACTGGGGGCGATGACTGTCATCACCTCTGGTGCTGTGGGGCAGACCAGGTGAGATGTCAGTACTGGTTAGTGTTTACTGGGTACTACGTGTGTATCTTCTCTTTTTCTGTAAAGGTGACTTTACGATTTATTATTTTTTTCTAATTACCTTTTTTAGTGTTTATTTTTGAAAGGGGGGTGGGGAGGGGCAGAGACAGAGGGAGACACAGAATCCGAAGCAGGCTCCAGGCTCCGAGCTGTCAGCACAGAGCCCGACGCGGGGCTCGAACCCACAAACCATGAGATATCATGACCTGAGCCGAAGTCGGTCGCTTAAGTGACTGAGCCGCCCAGGCGCCCCAATTTTTTTTTCAGTAATCTCTATACCCACCCTGGGGCTCGAACTTACAACCCCAAGATCAAGAGTTGCACCTCTACCGACTGAGCCAGACGGGCGCCCTGTGTCATCTTGTTTCAACCCCTCAGGGATCCTGTGACATAGGGCCGTTTTTTATTTTCCCCTTTGACCTATGGGGAAACTGTGGCACAGAAAGGCCAGTCATGTGCCCAGGACCACGAAGCTGGGATGCGCCGATTCACTCACCGGGCCCTTACTGAGCACCTACAGCGTGGGACCGCAGTTGTGAACAGGACGGATGAACGTCTCTGCCCTCAGGTGGACATTCTAGAGGGGGACACGGAACAACATCCATATGAAGGGATAGCGCATCCCAGAGTTGTAACGGCTACGATGAGAAATAAAGCCCTAGGTGACGCCACAGAGAACGAGACGGGGGTCAGGGAAGCCCCCTGTGGGGAGAGACCTGAAGGAAGGGAAGGCGCCTGTGGTCAAAAGAAGAAGAGATTCCAGGCGGAGGGAACAGCACAGGGAACAAAGAGGAACGCAGAGGAGCCAGAGCTGAGAGTGCAAAGGGGGTCTGACGCAGCCCATGTGCTGGACTTCACCCTGACCTTCGCAGGAAACGGGCCATGCTGGGCCCAGGGTAAAAGGTCACTGACCACACAGCCCCATTTTCCACGAGGAATAAAGACTGTCCTGTGGGGCGCCTGGGTGGCTCAGTCGGTTAAGCGTCTGACTTCGGCTCAGGTCACGATCTCACGGTTCGTGGGTTCGAGGCCCATGTTGGGCTTACTGCTGTCAGGCTGTCAGTGCAGAGCCTGGAGCCCGCTTCAGATTCTGTGTTTCCACCCCCCCCCCCCCCCCCCCCCCCAGCCTCCCCCCACTCTATCTCTCAAAAAAGAAAAAAAACTTGTAAAAAAAAAAAAAAAAAAAAAAAGACTGTCCCGAGACTCCTGTGACAAGTGCAAACCAGCGAGGCAGTGACACTTCAGAGGCCACCCGCGCTCCTGCAGCCGTGGCCCTGACGTCAGGGGGGGATGCCGTGCTACGTGGCCCCTGCTCTGTGGAGTCTCTTTGCTATCGTGGACACAGGGAAGGGAACCCGGCCTTACCTTTTCGGGATTGAAATCCGGAGGGTAATACTTGTTTACACCTTTCCTTTCACCCTGGAAAGCAGAAGAGACCTGTGACTCAGGGAGGGCCAGGGGCAGGGCCCGGATGGGGGGCCGTGGGGGGGGAGGTTGAGGGACATCCCAGAGAAGCCCTGGGCTCTGGGTCGGACTGGGGACCGTGACTTGGGGACTGGCGAGCCACTGTCACCACAGCGGAAAATCACAAGAGAATCCGACTTTGCTAAAGCAAAAGGGCTTCCCGTGTTTTGGGGACCGTGACTGACAGCAGGACACGTTAACACAGCCGCTGCGTAAACACGCGCGTCATACAGCCAAAGCACAGCACAGGCTTCGGGAAAGAACGCCTATCCAGCTGCCAGGGTCTCACTTTCTAAATGCTGGCAGCCGCCCAATAAATTGACCTGATGACCCAGGTAGGAGTGGGTCTCCAACTTGGCCGAACGTTGCGTGCACCTGACGAGTTTCTAAAATCCCTACGCCTGGGCCCCACCCCTCCTGACGAGGGCTCCTCCGGGGCCTGGCACCCGGACCCCCGGGCTTTTAAAAAGCAACCTGGAAACAGATGTTTGGACAAATCGTTGTGCACGCACGCTCCTAGCAGCCGTAGTTATGACAGCCAAATGGCAGAAACAACTCAAACATTCTTCAACGGATGAATGGGGACCCACCATGCGGCAGATCTGGACGGTGGAATATTATTCGGCCACAAAGAGGAATGACGTCTGGACTCCCGCTACGACGTGGATGAACCTCAAACGCATTGTGTTTGGTGAAAGAAGCCAAACGCAAAAGGCCACAGAGCGTATGATTCCACTTACATGAAATGTCCCAAACGGGAAAGTCCATGTGGACAGGAAGCAGACGGGTGGTTGCTGGGGGCTGGGGAGGGACTGCTCGTGGGGACAGGATTTCCTTTTTGGGGAGATGGGAATGCTTTGGAAATAGATAGAGGTGGTGGTTGTCCAACAATATGAAAATACTACATGCCACTAAATTGTGACACTCTAAAATGGTGAATTTCATGTTGTTTGAATTTCACCTCCGAAAGAAAGAAAGAAAGAAAGAAAGAAAGAAAGAAAGAAAGAAAGAA